CCCCATCACACTTCTGGCCTTTACCCCAGCTCTTGTATGCATAAATAAATAAATATTTTTTTAAAAAAAGAAATGAGACAATACTGCTAGCAGTAGAAATATGGGAATCTCTTACTGAAATCAGGACATTGCCAAGTACCAAAGACTATTAGAGTGATAGAGCTTGTTTTAATTATTACCCTGAGAGAGTTTTCACTGGTAAATTAGTATTCCTTTTTTTTTTTTTGGTTAAAATTCTTCTCTGACTCATGGTACATATTTTTTACTGCATATTCTATACTGGTTTTACGTGTGAAGCCCCATTAGTGCACTTAGAATTTTGCATATTGAATGAGCTTCAAATATTCTGTAGACTCCTACTCTATAATTAAGTGTGGTTTAAAAAGGAACATACATACTCATGCAGATAACTTGTTCTTAAGATGTCATTATCATTGGTTGTCACTGGCAGTTAGTCATTTTATTAGATATTAATATTCACAGCTTTCAAAGTATTACAAGTCTCTCGCTTCAAAAATGGGAAAGAGAATAGAGCTTAGGTTAGTTGGCTTTGTCTGAAAGCCCCAGAGTTGCGACTTGTGCTATTTTCTTTTTTTTTTTTTTTTCTTGTGCTATTTTCTAGTCTACTGACAGCTCAAAGTAGCTCCAAAATCTTCCTGTACTTTGAAGCCAGATTAGCCAATGAAATTGTAATTTTGATTTTAGGAAACTGTCATAGATGCTGTAAAACGCTAAACGATGCCATCTGAATAAAGCAGCTAAAAACATTAGGAGTCGGATGTGGAAATTTGAATATTGCCTGGATAATCAATATTAAGGAATTACATTGGGCTTTTAGGTGGGATGATGTTATTGAGTAATTATCTTTTAGAAATACGAATGGGAAGGGGAATGAATTAGAACTATAAATGAAATAAGCTTGGCCATTTAGTCATAATTGCTGAATCTGGCCAGTGCTTCTACAGGCATTCATTGTATTACCTGTTCTACTTTTGTATATGTTTGAAGTGTTTTTCACAGTAAATAGTTTAATAATTTGATCAGATCTTTTTTGCATCTACTGTGAATTTAAAAAAGACCAGGTTTTTCTAACTCAGAACAATTGTAGCCCTTTGCAGTTTGTCTTTTTTTAAAGGGTAAAGCAGTAGGTAACCAAGTCTATAGCTCCCAAGATGCTTTTAATTTTTTTCTTTTTAAGTGCATATGCTATCCCTTAAAGTTTTTATACATAGGCAACTATTTAGCATTGTCTGTGAATTTTATGAGGACATCGTGAGTTCAGATCCCGTGAGGGATCTACCAGTAAAGGCAAAGGCCATGGGGAATTGAGACCTGAATGAAGGAAGATATACATTTAAAGGTGTCCCTGGTAGGCTGGGAGAATGGCTTGGACTGCTTGGAAGCCAAATAGGGATTTTGCTCACAAGGGTCCAGTGATCTGTGCTTAAACAAGCACTGTAGAAGCTGAGTGAGAAAGAGATATTCTGCAGGGGAGAGGGAGGAAGAGGATCAAGACGAGGGCGGGAAGAGCGCAAGGGACTGTGGTGATGGTGCAAGGGTGAATTGGTGGTGGAAATTCTATGGGGACTACACCTGAGAAAAGAAAGTAAGCATTGTAAAAAAAATGAACAATGGTGTAAAATATATATAGATATAAAAAGAAAGTACAGCATAATGAAAGTTTGAGCATGATACAGTCATAGATTCAAATATTACTTCAACCAATTACTAGAAGTGATTTTACTACTTGTTACAGAGTCTCAGTTAACTCATGAATCTCCCACATAACAAAGCTCTCTTGGGGACTGAATAAAATACGTGAAGAATGGGAAGTGTTAATTGGCAGGTCTGGTTATTTAGTCCTCTTATGTCTTCAAGGCAACTTGGGAAGACGAACAACCTTTGGCCAAGCGCAGGGAACGTAGCCCTCAGAATGTTCATTTATTAGTGATTGATGACTGTGTTTTGTACATCCAAAGCAATGGACCATGCTTGTCAGATCTTTACACAAACATCATCATTGACGATAGGCGCTGGCTTCATGCCTGGGGTCCTGAGTTTTTCTTGTCATGGCTGGTCATGTAGCATAATATACCTCAGTGACCAGTCCTCCATAAAAGCCTCAGACTCTTGAATGGCTTCCCCGAGCAGAGACATTCTGCACATGTCTCTGTAGCTGTTGCTAGAGAAAAAGCAGGTCCTGGGTAGCCAGGACTCAAAACCTTATTCCTTATTTCTCAGGATTCCTCCTGACACATGTATTTTTCTTGTTGCTCTTGGCCTGTCTATCTATCCATCTATCTATCTATCTATCTATCTATCTATCTATCTATCTATCTATCTTTGTTTTAGAAGTTGATATGTATTTAATGAACTTGCATACTTAAAGAAAATAATACTATTGACTTGTAGTTTCTTCTCCCAATTAACAAATATTTTCTAAAACAAGCTCTCCTTACATGAATTCTTTTTAATATTTTTTTCTGGAAAATATCTGTGTTTTGTTTATTTTTTTTGAGGTGATGTTGATTTACATTATTGATCGGTGTTTTGGAAATATAAGGTTCTCCTTTCCTGGTGCTTTCTGTTACTTTGGCTTGTCTATTTTTTGCTGTAATAAACCTTAGTTATGAGAATAACCTGTTCTTGAGTCTTAGGAGTCCTTTCATTAAATCAGCGAACTTGATGGCAGCCTTTGGACTCACAAGACATTAAGGGACTGGTATGGTGCCTGACAAAGAGTCACATCATTCAGTCCATGCTAGCTACCAGCATTTAACTGATTGATGCTATATGGACTAACCTCACTCTGTTACAGCATAGGTTGGGAATCCAGGACTGTCTGTGTTTCTTTTTTTTTTTAAGATTTATTTATTTATTTATTTATTTATTTATTTATTTATTTATTTATTTATTTATTTATTTATACAAGCACTGGGTACAGTCAGAGGTGCGGGAGGGTGAGAGAATTCACCAGAGCCAGAGCGGAGAGCAGAACAGGCAGAGTGACAAAGTACACTGCTGAGGGGAGCAGCGGGCGGCAGGAGAGGTCTGCGTTCCATGTGGGACCCTCACCTGGTGGCTGGGGATCGAACCGGCTGTGGGCAGCTTTGCAACTGCTGCGCCACCTGGGAGGCCCAGACTGTCTGTGTTTCTTAGCCATGCCTTGGAAGAAACAAGGATAACATCTCATCAGTGGGGAAGTTAGAGAATAAAACTCCAAAGTCCTCCTGTCCTCCCAGCTGTGCTGATTCAGCATGTGGTGGTGCCATTTGGGAAAAATAGGAAGATGGGCAGATCCCCAATGGGGACCTTCTAAGAATGCATAATAGGCAAACTGTTTTTTTTTAATTAATTATTTTAAAATTTTTCTTAACATCATTGTTCATTTTTGTACAGTATTTGATTTCTCACCTCAGGTGTAGTCCCCGTAATTCTCCCACCATCATGGTACCCATAAACCATCACCATAGTCCTTGTGCTCTTCCCTGCCCTGTTTTGAGACCTCTGCCTCCTGCCCCCCACCTTGCTGTATGCCTCAGATCTATGGCTTGCTTGCAAGTTTTGTCTTTATCCTCTTAATAGGCAAATTTTATGACCATGTTGAGGGTGGCAATAAAAAGTCCTGTTGAAAGTAATGAGGACTAGAACACATAGGCTAATGCTGTTTCAGGTGTTCGCACTACAGGGTAGACCCGACTTCCCATAGAAGTCACAGGAGGCAGTGGTGTTATAAATGACTTTCAGGAATTTCAGCAACTTAGAACCAAGGACAGAGGCTGTGATACTGTGATTTATAAAAAAAAAATACTTATTCGGTGATCCAGATAACCAGTTTTCATATTTACTTGGTCTTCATCCACAGTTCCTGGAACACAGTTCCCAAAAGCTTGCTTCTTAAGTGTTGAGAGAAAGTTAACTTTTGTTATGTTAATGAGATGAATTTTGGAAAGCAACTAAGGAAGGGGACTAGTTGCCAGTGGAGGCAACCCTGTAATTAGAGGGATTGATCCTTTCAGTCACTGCCCTCTGGGGAGGGCAATGCCTTCAGGGCAAATGGCCTAGAGTTTGACTTCAGTGACCAATGGCCAATGGGCTAATTGATCCTGCCAATGTAATGAAACCTGCTTAAAAGCCCAGAAAGGATTGGGTTTGGAAAAGCTTCCTATTTGGTAAACATGCAGAGATTTAGGGAGAGTGGAGAGATTATGGGAGCTCTGCCTACTTCCCCATACCTTGCTCTAGGCATCTCTTCCATCTCTTTGTCCCTGGGCTATGTCCCTTCATAATAAAAGTGGATTTACTAAGCAAAAGGTTTCTCTGAGTTCCATGAGCTGCTCCAGCAAATTAGTCAAACTAAAAGAGGGAAGAGGTCATGGGAATCTCTGATTTATAGCCAGTTGGTTAGAAATACAGGTAACAACCTGGACTTGGGACTGGCATCTGGAGCCCAAGGGGCAGGGTCATTGGTCCCTCCAACCCATAACCTTTGTGTCAGAAGCCCAGGTTGGACTTAAAATGGTGTCTGAAGTTGGGGCGGGGGTGGGGGGGTGACATGCAAAAGTCTTGTAGGACTGAGTCCTTAACCTGTGGGATTTAATGCTATCTCCAGGTAGATCGTGGAGTTGAATTGAGTTGGATTCTTATCTGAGAACTACTTACTGGTGTGGCAAAGCCCCTTTCCTTCTCACCCCCACCCAAACACATTGAAATTGGGTCCAGGAACCCAAAACACAGAGCAATTTCCACCAACCACTGGGCACCACAGAAAGACATTCTTAAACTGCGATTGTATGTAAACATTAAAAAACAAAATTAATTGGGTTGATACTTCAATTGAGAGCAATCCAAGGGAAGAAGCAGCCCAGGATCCCACCTTAGAATTCCGTTCTAAGTCTCTATGCTTATGGTTCCCATTGGCGTGAACATATCTAAGTAAAATGCATCAAAAGAACCTTGTGCCTCTAAAATGCAATAATTACATAAAGTCATTTGTGATGTCATGCATTTTATTATTGTTTATCAAGTAGATTGTCTTTAAGATGGATAGGACTAATTTCAACAGTGATCACAAGTAGATTTTCTTCATTATCAGTTTCTTAAAGGATGATAAGCATAAGTTTGGTATAAGCTTGCTTCTTCATTGATGGTTTTTAATTATTTCGAGTGCTTTTAAAGATGATTTCTTTATGTGGTATGTTGCAAATGATGGTTATCTCTCTCTCACTGTCATCATTACTATCACTGTCACTCATGTGTGCATTATCACTAAACTCTACTTTGTGAAAAGGTCTGGAAAAAGACTTCACTTTACTTGAAAAAGACAGGTTTTGAGAATCTTTCTTCACTGCCTCAGAAGTATCATTGATCAAGGGCTCACAAAGAGTGCTACAAATAAGGCAGTTTTCCTTGTAGCATTGACAAGACACAGCTAATTCAGGCCTAAACAGTGTGTCTGTTCTATGTGTACTACCCGGTCGTTTTAGATTACGATTTCTGGGACGCTTGGTCAATTTCTGGAAATTAGATATCTTTAGCGGTGAGGTTTGATCTTGAGGAGAGGGTAGACCAAGTGGCTTTGTTGGCTTCGCTGGAGAAAGTGGTCTGGTTATCTTATCTGGATAGCAAGGACTGACTGGCTTATATGTGTGGGATTTCTTATAGAACTTGTCTACATTGTGTTTTCTATATTTCTTGTCTAGCTGGGGTCCTCTGTATGATTTTTTGTGGTTTGGTGACTTAAAGGACTTAGCTCTACTTGATGGCTTGATTAGCTTTTGTCCACTAGATGGTATAGATGATTTTTCTGAACTTGAGTGTCTGATTAGCTTTTCTGCACTGGAGGGGATGGATGACTTTTCGGGGCTCGCGGGCCTGTTTGTCTTTTCTACACTGGAGTGCATGGATGACTTTTCTGCAATAGAGGGCACAGGTAACTTGTCCATACCTAATAGCATAAGTGGTTTTTCTGCATTGACTGGACTGATTGCCTTGGACTCAGTGAGTGGTATTTTCATTGGATTGGCTGTTACATTTTCCTTCTTGCCCCTGGAAATATAGAGAATTGGGATTAGGATAATTGAAAACAGTAATAATACTAGATAGCACAATGCTAACTGATTATACTATTGCTACTATCAGAAAGCATAGACTTTGTCTTTTGGGGGTTCTAGTAGGAAAACTCCTCAAGTTATTTTTCACGCTGTTACAATCTTAAAATGGGAGATTATTCAAAATGTTTTGTCTTTGGAATCAGAAATCCAACTCCCACTCCCCCACCCCTCCTTCATTCTCTTATTCAGATAGTCATGTGGTTCTTTCCCTAGACTCAACTTACAACAAAACTAATAGCCTAGACCATAACTGAACCCTGGATAGGAGACAGCTTTGGCTAAAGTTGATAATGCACTTGAGAATATTAAGAGCTGATAATAGTTAAATGAAAGAAGTTGGTAGCTCTTTAGAAATCTAAAGTTAACATTAAGTAACCACAACAGTAAAATCTCCACTATTTATGACACACACATACACACACACCTTATATTCTTAATATAAAGGTTTAATTTAAAACTTAAATTAATTTAAGTTAAGTAAACTTGATTTAAAACGTACGTTTCTCCTTCGCTTGTACAGTTATAATGGAAGAAACAGGAACAGGTAAAGACAAAAGCAATAATCATAATACCAATTACGATAACCAGCAGGCGTTTTCTGAAACTGTCCATTTTCATTTCCATGGATTCGGTATGCCTTGTTGCTGCCAAAGAGATTGTATCATCAGAAAACTTGTCAGGCAACCAAATATTCTTCCATTTTCATAGTGGTTTGCCTTTATAGATCAAAATCAAATCTCCTCATTAATGAATTTTTAAAAACCATGACAACGATTCCACTGTCATTCTCTTTCTTTGATCACATCCCCAGACACTCCATCTAGCAGCTAAATCTAGTAGGTATCTCTGACACATCAGTACAGATACCTGGGTTACCTCCACATCATGGTCTGCTTACCCCATTACCTAGGTTTTGAATGTTTCTCTATGAAAGCATGTGAATATTAATGTGTCTGGTTGAACATATATTGTGAGAAAGGAGATAGGACAAGAAGAAACCCCTGTTGAAATCTCCTCAGTAGTAAGTCCCATTCACTCACACAGTATTATCTAATATGATAGGGAGCAGATATTGGTGGATTGGGTAGAAAAGGAGATGGAAGGGGGACAATAAATCTGTACTCTTTATGCTTCTACAATGCTTGGATTTTTCACACAAAACTGAAACTCTCAGATACTCTAGAAATTCTTGAGGACCCACTAATGATATCATCCCAGTAACAGCAGATTTCTTAAACCCAGTTAGCTTGGCTAAATATTTGAATACATACTATAATATCTCAGGTGTTGTTCTAGACATTCTTGAAGATGTACTAATGGTAACATCCAAGAAACAATAGATTTCTTAACCTCAGTTAACTTGGCTAAATGTTTGAATATACATTATAATAGATCATAAGTTATAGTTCTAAGGTTAGGCACCTACCTATAGTTGGAGGCTCATCAGTTTGGTTTGTAGTCAAACAGCTGTATGTCCAAATGGACAAAAATAGGACATAAATAGAAAGAGTCATGTCCAGGGCTCTATTCAAATGTCTCCTCTACCAAGGAAACACTGTGTTTTATATGGTTCAGGCTGGGGGTTTATGACATCATTTTTCTGACAACATAATCTCACCATGGAGACGTATGGGCTTTTATGTACGAGCATTACTAAGTGGCTTTTAATCTTTAATTTATTTTATATTAACTACTCTATCAAATTCAAATAAAAAATACTGGGACATCATTAAGCTCAGAAGGAAGTATTTAGAGGAGGTAGGGAAAAATGGGGTAGCTCTAGATATTGAAGAACAATTTTTCCTTATTAAATGGTAAGGAGACACTTTGTAGCCTTGTAGTGTGGTCTTTAGTGTTACAGGGATGAAAGTATTCCAAGGTGTAAGTCTGTATGAATTTTTCTTAATACAATTAAGATTCTGAATAGTCCCTCAATGTTTTTATCAAGCTGCTGCTAATCATCAGAAGCTCAAATTATTCATCTACTCATCAAACATTTAGAGAACAGTACATATGCCAGATAGCATGATTAATGTTATAGATCCCAAAATAAGCAAGATTAAAATCCGAACACTCCTAGTATTTATACTCAAGTAATTACAAAACAGTGTGACCTGGGCTATGTTAAGAATAAGCACAGTGTTTGGGGGAAAGAGCACCCTAACATGACTGGAAAGAATGAATTAGAAGGGAGCTCAGTCTGTTGGTGAGGAAATTCCTTAGGGAGGAGAGGATGGTTACCAAAATTGAGGTGTTGAGAATAGAGGTGAATGAATGGCTTAAGAAATATATTACTAAGGAGGTTAAATTGACATGAGTTGGTCCTTGATTGTTTGAGTGGAAGAAAGGGTAGTATTAAGGGTAGCTCAAAATTCTAGCTTGACAATTGAGTGGCTGGCTATCCATTGAGACAGAGGACACATGAGAAGTTGCAGCGTTGAGGGTAGCAGAGGGTAGTGGAACTTGATGAGTTCAGTTTCAGGGATGTTGAGCTTAAGGTTCTCTTGATAAATCCAAATACACGTATCCAGAAGCCATGGCCTTGGAGTTCTGAAGATGGATTCAGGCTGGAGTCATTAGTCTGCAGAAAGGGGTTTAATGCTTTTCCCGCCATTGAAGTCTGAAGTCTGTGGACCCCATCTCAGAATAATATTTTTAAACACACAAAATGAAATATGTAGGATTAGAAAGGAAACACATTATACTGAGATAGAGTTAGCAAACATAAAAATGTGATGTAATAATATTTGTAATTATTGACTCATTAAAGGGACCTAGTGGTGTTGCTTGTAACTACTACAAAGTGAAATGTTGGTAAGCATGAGCAATGTTTTGAGATATCTGCAACAACTATAATATATGAAAATGTATATGATTTCTATTAATAATGAAGTCACAGACACCTAGTTATACTACTGTGGTTTTGAAGCACAACACCCTGAATTATTAAACCCAACCCTGTTGAGGGACATTTGGTGCAGTTTCCCTCTGGCACTACTGAGTTCCTTGGAGCCCTCCAGCCCAGGAGCCTGCCCTGACCTCAGTGCAGGTCCAGTGTGGGCAGGGTCCAGGTTTTATCCTTTTATAGTAGGCTGTAGGCTATACTTGAGACTGGACCAATTTGAGTGGAGCTTGAGCAGCACCAATCAAACAGCTGGGATTGGAACCCCCCTCCCCCACCCTTCCAGTTTTCCCAACTGGTACAGTACCAACCCCACACCATTGGCAGTTATGCAAATATAGGCTCATAATCCCTCCAATCTGATTGGAACTCCCATGGCAGTTATGCAAATATAGGCTTGTAAACCTTCCAGTCTGATTGGAGCACCCATTACAGTATGCCAATACAGACTTGTAAACCCTCCAGTGTGATTGGACCTCTCATGGCAGTTATGCAAATATAGGCTTGTGAGCCTCTCAATCTGATTGGACTGCCCATGGCAGTTATGCAAATATAGGCTTGTGAACCTTCCAATCTGATTGGACCTCTCATGGAAGTTATGCAAATACAGGCTTGTAAACCTTCTAGTGTGATTGGAACTGCCATGGCAGTTATGCAAATATATGCTGTGAACCTCTCAATCTGATTGGACTGTCCATAGCAGTTATGCAAATATACACTTGTAAACTTTCCAGTCTGATTGGAGCACCCATTGGTGCCAGTCAATTAAAAGGACCAATCAGGTTTGAAAGAAGAGGAGAGTATTTAAGCCAGGCTCCAACCAGCTTGTAGAGGAGATCTTGGTGGGGGAGTTTGGAAGGACTTGATGAGGCAATTGGAGAGGTAATCAGATTCTTCTTGAAGACCTTCATTGACAGTAACACTGAACCTGAAGTCAGATTCATGTAGAAGATCTTCACTGAGTTGTGACATAAACCCTGTTTTCTGGCACCATGCCTTCACAGACTTGCCCTTGGAGTCTGCCTCTAATATCAACTGCTGAATGACACCATTGCCCTGTGTTAGGTGTCCGTAGCAGAGCTGTTTTCTGTTGGCTTTGTGCCCAGCATCTCTGAGAGCTGTAACACTGGTCCCTGCCCTGACACGTCCAGCACCATGTCCTGTTGCTTTTGCCTTTGGTGCCATCCAGTCTGGTCTGGTCTGATCCTGTGTCCAGTGCTGCCCAGCCTGGCCTTTCGATTGCTGTTGCTGAGACCTTTGTGAACTTTGAGATAAACGTGACCTGAGGTGTTTAAGATATTGGTGAACTCTGTGACCTTAAAGACCTTTGTAACCTTTGACTTTGGAACCTTGGCTACTGATTCTCTCTCCTCTCTCCCCTTAGCCCTGTTGTTGTTGAACCCTGAACCTGAGTCGTGTCTTGCAGCTGAAGTAGTAAGTGCATGGTTGAGAATCCACCAACAGTGACACTTTGGCTCTCCAGGCCTGTACCTCCAGTGATAATTGTGAAAAATAGTAAATTTTCATTAGAAAAAAATTAATAAATTTTCATTAGAGATTGATGAAAATAAGTCTTTTTATCCATTTAAACTCACAAATTGCCTGAAAGTCATTCACGTTCCCAAGTCAGAAACAAAAAGCAGAAGTGACTTGGCGCCCATTAGAGTGGAGAAGGAAGAGAGGGTACGTGTCCCTGAAACTCGGGCCCACAGCATGCACTGCGGAGCAAGACTGGAATTTTCCCACCATGGGCTAAGCAGCCGCAGCCCTTGGAAAAGCACGGTCTGGGCCAGACTTTGGTGCCTGTGGGCAGCCCCTACCCGGGCGCCAGGGGTCTGAGCAGAGCCCGAGGGGCTTTCCCGCTGGTGGCCTCCGGGCAGCACCCAGGCCCGGGTCCGGCCGCCTCCCGGACGCTGCCCAGAGGCGCGGCCCGGCCTGTTTGTATTTGGCACCTGGCGGGTGGGCAGGACCCACGCGGGGCGAGCTCAGTGGACCCATCGCGTCCCCAGCTCATCAGCAAAGTATTCGGCCCAGACGGGCCGACGGGTCCACCCTGGACACTGGGAATGGAAGAGGCCCCGTCGGGCAGGTGCCAAGGCGCGTGGGGGCGGGCAAGAGGCCAAGGCAGGCGGAGAGGAGCCGGTCGGGACGCCCAGACGCCCTCGGGCTGCGCTTCGGCCGCCCCCCCCAAGACAGGAGCCACGAGCTTGGGGGGCCCCCCCCCCCGGCCACAGCACCAGCATGAGAGGAGCGTCGTGTCTGCGGCCGCCCGGGGGGCGCCTCCAGCGGCGCGACCCAGCGCGTGGCTCTGGCCTCGGCGCCCCAGGCCCTGCGGGCGGGTGGCACCATCTGGGAAAGGAGAGCAGCCTTTCTTCCGGACCTTCTGGACACCGTGGACGCTGCCTGGGGTGAGCTGGCCGGCCCCTGGGGCCTCAGGCACTTTTTGTTGCCCCTGTTTGTTACATAAACCCCAGTGTTGTTCCCTGAACCTGAGTGGCCTTGTGATTGTGCACGTGGGTTAGGACCCATGCACAGTGGCCTGTCCTCTACCTGGGCACTGTCTTATGGACCTTTGCTTATAGACGCTCTGGTCTCCCTTTGCTCAGCCCATCCTCCACCTGCCCTAGTTTCATATCACGTATGAACAAGGGTATGCTACTTGCAAGAAATCGTCCCTGAAGAGACGTTGTGGTTATAGGGTGCTGGAACAATGGCGAAAGCACAGCGCATTTCTCCAAATGGGCCAACTCTTTCGATTCTCTTCTGCACTACTGGTAAATCTCAAATATTTATTTGAAATTCTCAAATATTTATTGAGTTTTTTTTTTTTTTAAAGATTTATTCACTGGGCTGAGCTCTGAAAGATGAGGACTCAATTACGGGGGAAGTAAGAGAGTGTCCTAGGTGGAGGAGACACAGTGCAAAGGCCCTGTGGTGGAAGGGAGAGCAGATTAGAGACACCAAAAGAAGGGAGTGAGTTGAGACTAGAGAAGTTTGGACCTTATAAGCCATATTAAGTCCATTGGACTTTATTGTAAGAGTAATGGGGTACGACTGTAGCATTTCAGGCTAGAGAGTGACATGGTAACATTTTCAATTTAGAAATCCACTGTGGCTGTTGTATGGGGAGTAGATTGCAGGGGCACAAATGGAAGAAAGTAGTAAGACAATTAGGAGGCTATTCCAGTGGTCCATGTGACAGAAGATGGTGACTTGAAGCGGAGTGATGGTGGTGATGAAGCTGGAGAAAAGGCAGTGAATTTGAGGAACTTCCTGATGGCAGTCAGGACTTGATGATGGATAGGCCATTGAATCTGTGTGGGAGAGAAGTCGCAAGGATGATTTCTTCACTCAACAGAAATGTGTCATCTATTATGTGAGCACAAACTTAGCCTTAGGCACTGAGCTGTCAAATAGACAGTCTTTGCCTTCAAGGACTTTGAAATCTAATGGGGGAGACACATGTGTAAATAACCAATCATTAGATGAATCTTGAGCTCAGGTTTTTACTTTGCTATTTTAATATGAGGTGGCATCCCTGGCACCCCAAAAAAGTTGAGGCAACTTCATTTCCTTACGGCCAAAATGAACAATGTGTGGAGGGGATAGGTAAAAATAAGCTGGAGTAGGTAAGCGGGTGACCTTTATAAGAGGGTTATGTGCTA